GTTAGGCCGCTGCTGAATCTGCCCAGCGGCTGACTACAGGAAGCCCGCGGCAGAGTTCCTCTGTCCCGGCCTTCCTGAAATCAGCCGCTGATCAGTTTCAACAGGCTGAATCTGGACGCCAGTTCTTACATACAGATTCAACTTAAGAACAAACCTACAGTCCCTATCTTGTACGTAACCCGGGGACTTCCTGTAGTTCCAGTGGCCAAAATTTTCAAACCTTTGTGTCTAAATTTTAGAGTTTTATACTATCCATCACATTAGCATCCCAATATAAAATCAGTAGCAATAGCTAATCCTTAGTGATGTCATGAAGTCTTTGGCTTTCCTCTCTTTTTGACTCCTAAATCCGTATTTTGCTATCTCAAAGATGTGGCCTGTTATATGTTAGCGATTAAATATTGATATTGGTGTGAACTGTAGACACCCAGATTTGAAAAAAATTATGGCATTTGAGTGTAGTGGGAATTTTATAAGAACTAAAACTTTCCAGGATCATTCTTGTGGATGTCTGCCAACTTCTCTGACTTTTTAAAATAGTTGAGAATTTTCATCGTGACGAGCTAAGTTCACCCTTATTACCCTAGGATGGCTATTGTCCAAATTAAGATCCCAATACATAACTATCACAGATCAGAAGTTAAAACTAATTACCATGCTTTGAACGTAATTGAACCATATAAAAATAGTTGCCAGGTGTCCGGTTTCACCCGGACAGTCGCCCCCGTCTGGTTTAAAAAAAAAAAAAAAAAAACAGAAAATACCAGACATGTGCAATGTCTGGTATTTCCTGTTTCTCTGGAACGGAAGCCCGGCAGGGACCATTTTCCTCTAGCAGGGGCAGGGGAGTGCAGAATGCAGCAGAGTCACAGAGAAGGGGGGCAAGAGGGGGCACTTGCCAGGCGCCATGCTAGGGAGGCGCTGGGCTGTGCTGGGAGTGGAGCATGCGCTGCTCTGGCCCACGTGACGTGTCCCCTACAAGCTATGCAGCTTGGCCGAGTGGCAGGAGCAGCCACTTTAAAAGTAAGATTAACTTACCCAGCCATCCCGTTCCTCCGGTGCCTGGCTCTGCGGGGGGCAGGGGCTCCCCACACTGGGGATGCCTGGTGCAGGAGGAGGGGGAAGTGCACTGGGATGGGGGGGTAATATGGGAGACTGGGTGTGAGGCAGGGGTGAGTGCATTGGGATGGGGGAGCACTGGGAGGGACTGGGTATGAGGCAGGGTGAGTGCATTGGGATTGGGGATGCTGCGGGAGACCTGGCTCGGGGAGGGGGTGGGTGTATTGTGGGTTAGTGTGTGGTCCCAAACTGGAGGGAGAGGTGCGTTCAGTATTTTTTGTTAAACCATCTGGCAACCCTATAAGTTAAAGCTAACTAAGCACTATATCCAAGAGTTTAGGCCTTTCTGTAGATAACTTGGGGCTAGAAATGTGTACAGGTTTGGATGAAATTTAGGTGATTGAAATGTCACATCTATGATTTATATATCAAAAGAAACCCATAGGTTAAACTGTATGTATATTTGTTCTTTCCTTAAAAAGAATGTATGCGTGTACTATATGCCTATTTTAAAATCAGACACTTTTAATATGTATTGTAATCCTATGTGATACAGTCTCAGGATTTAGCCTTTAAAAATCCAAAACCTGTATTTCAGTTCTTTGAGGAAAAGTGTGAGAACCCTTTGTTGTAGCTGAGAAAAGCCTTTGTAGAAATGGTGGAGTATGTCCATTTACTTAGTCTGTAATGAATTTTCTATAACTTATCACAGATCTCCTTATGCTTTATGAATGTAAACTACATTGTCACTGACATGAATAGAAACAGTCAGTGTTTAGAAAGAATGGGCACCTGCTAACAGAATTGTTTTAATATATCTATATATCTTTAAATACAGTTATTTATATTTACATAAAATATTGAGCTGTTTTAAGATATTTTAATGTATGTAACTGCAGTGCTTCAGTTTGACTGAGAAAAATAATTACCAACATTGCTAAATAAATTTAGTTTAAAAAATAGGGAGTTATTTTGTACTAACTGATTATCCCTTGGGACCTATTTTGCAGTGTTCTCACATACTTAACTCTGTTGCTTTAACTCCCAGTGTCCTGCTGTAGGCTTACAGCTGTGTTTCAGCAGTAGAAATCTCCATTCTCACATCCCCACTCATTTTAATGATTTTGGGTTGCAAATAAAATGTCACTCTATTGAACTTCTGGAGCATAATCATGTGACCCTCCCAGCATTGGTTATCTCAGTCAGTCTAGTCCTTATGACTTGTGGTTATCTGGATTTCAGTCTTTAGAGATCATTTTTGTTAGGCTTTTTAAAACTGCTCAGATGAGGGAGCAAATAGATTCTTCATCCAAACATTTTCCATGGCTGTCTGGGTAACAGCCGTTCACCGCAGTGGAGGAGATAACTAGCGTTTGCATACAGCCTTGTCATTTCCCTGGAGGACAGTGCTTTCTGAAAAAGACCTACTTGGTTTTGAGACTAGATTAGGGCTTGGACTTAGGTTTTTGGTTGCAGTAGTCTTGAACATGTACTTCTAGTTAGTGTATATAATAGCACTGATGGTGACAGAGGAGAAAGCAGTGTTCGTTAGCAAGAACTGCAGATGGAACAAAGGGAAAAATGGAAGTGACTGAAGTATGATAGAGTGACTTAAAACCGATCACATTTTTTCAGCAAGCTGAAAGGCAGCAGGGAGTGGGAGTGAACTTCACACTTCGCTGTACCACTTAAATCTTTAGAGGATGATTCAGTAGCTAGAATTAATAATTTAATTAATTGAAATAGCTTTAAATAATTAGATTGATGGTTCCTGAAGACATTAGTTCAACTTTTTGAGTAGTTAATGTGTTCTTCTAGAGTTATGTATTTCTTCACTACTTGGGAAGTAGGAGGGGCAGTCCTTCAAGAAGTGGGGGATGGTCTCCACCTCCCACTAGATTTGTTAATAACACATCTGTTCTAAAGTCCTGAACTCATTCAGCAAAAACTGCTGTGACCTAGGAAACATTCAACTTTCATCAAATAGGCATCACTTAAATTGATGGGAGGTTCAATAGTGGTTTCCTTCTGAAAGCAATGGAGATAAGTGGGTCAGCCAAAACATTAAAAAACAACAACAAAACCCAAAGATTAGTGGCTCTTGGGAAGTATGCCACACATCAGAAGCCTATTAAAATTGCATCAATGTGTATTTATGTCCATGCTCAGCGAGGATGGGGGGGGGAAGAAATTATGTAGCAGCCTTCCAAATAGGACAATAAAAGTCAAATAAATTAAGGAAATTGAAATAAATATGGCACAGCAATTATCAGAAACACTACCCGTTTGTTCATAAACTGTGAAAGCCTCTGTGATTTTTACATATGGAAACAGCTTTACTTTCCATTTTGACTTGTTACTTTCTGACATTCCAGTGAAACCTGGAGATGTGTGTTTTTTAGGATAATCATCTTGTATTTTCATTTTCACTGGTGTCAAATGGAAAAATGCCACCCACCCAAGAAAGTTTCCTTTGTCTACAAGGATCATTAGACCAAAATTTAATTCTGTTCTGTAAAGGTTCTTCTAGTATCTGAGCATAATATCACTGCCATCATCACAATAGTATTTGAGTGCTTTCATATGTCACATGTGGTTTGTTCTTTACCTCATCCTCTCCCGAGGAGGAGAATTGTTCAATAAAGAGTCTTGGGTTAGTCTCCTAAAAACCTCCCGGGCCTACACAGATTAATTTGCCTTTGGTGGTAGAAAGTACCTTGGTGTTAGAGCAGCAGAGCCTTATTCTAGAGCTTTAGGTAAGCTTTTAGGCATTGTAGCCAGTATATTGCAAACCACTTAGGAGGCAATGCAGTGGTGGTGAACTGAGGTAATCGTTTATGGGGTGGGATAAAATCTCTTAATCAAAGATGGTAGAAAGCATTATTTGAAGCTGCTGCTATTGAGGACTTGTAGTGTCAGTGAGAAATCCAGGAGTATTCTCACACTATGGACTTGATCAATTGTGGGTGTGCTCCTTGTAAACAAAGGAGACTGCACCATGACTGCAAAGGGTTCAGTATGTTTTTCTCTGCCCACTCTCTTGCTCCAGTTAAATATAAGGACCATGTAGGATATGGGACTTACCCAGGATGGTGTTGAGCACCCTCAGCAACCACTAAAGTCAGCTGACACCTCATTTTGTTCTAGGATCAACCCCGGGTCAAAATTTTGGAATTGACTAAATCACTGACCTCCGTGATCCCTGTGGATGCCCATTAATTCTGTAAAGAAGTTCTCTTCTTTAATTGCCCGAGACACCGATTCACTTTGAAATGCACTTTGGTTCATCCCTTTTCAGGAAAGTGCTGAAGCACATGCTTAATGCTAAGCATGAGCTTAAGTTTCTAGAAAAGGCAGCTTTCCTGAATTGGGGCCTCATGATATACACCCATTTGAAAATTATGGGGTGTGTGCTTACTTTACCGTCTTATTTTTGAAACTGTAACATTGTACTCCTGTTCATTTGTGTTCACATTTTATGTTGTGACCTTTACTAGCCAGAGGAAAAGGAAAGGATTTTAAACTGCTTTAATTTGTGTGTATGTTGTGTGTACACAATTGTTTGTTTTTCCTTTGGTTTGTGCTGTTTGAGAGCCAAATCTTACTTGCTTCTTAAAGTCAGCAGAAGATAAACTAGAGGCCGTGTGCACATTGTGTTTATGTTCTGTGCAAGAGCAGAGGGCATATGGAATAAATCAAAATGTGAAGCATAATAATAGGGTCCCATGGGAAAGAGAGCCTTGTGATTGTGTGATGACTATCCCTAGAGACAGCAATAGGGGGGCTGGTTCCTAGCTGAGTCATGCAACAGGAGGGGGCTTCTTTCATTCTCACATGCATCCCACTTCTGATGTCACAAATCCATTCTTTGCTGAGAGAATTGATTAACATTCATTGGGAGCCTCTAGAGAAAGAGAAGCGAGGGGAAAGAGAGAGCACGCAAGGAGAAAGGGTGCTTAGCTGATTTCTTCCCATCCCAGCTACATAGAAGTTGGGACACAATCGGACACAGAATGGCTATTTGTAACTGGGGTCCTTGGTGACGTATGGCTGAGCGTTTCCTGGCACAAATCTTTATGGACCAGTAAGCAGAGCGAAATTGAAGCCGACAAGACTTTTTGCATTTTGGAAAGGACTGTAATCTACTGTAGTGAAGAACAGAGCCACTCAATCACTGCTGCTGTAAATGAGAGACAGAAGGGAGTAAGAAAGAAAGAAGAGAAAAAGATTTTGCTGGGAGGAGGGGGGAGAAAGCATTTTTGGTGGATGGTATGAAGCCAGCCATGGAAACTGCAGTGGAGGAAAATACAGAACAAAGCCAAGAGAAAAAAGGTACCCGGAGGTCTAACAATAGCCTGTTTAAATCTTTTCATTGAGGGTACTTAAAGAGGGTTAGACAGTTTTTGTCACTCTTTTTAGAGCTGCTCTTAAACAATCATTATTGGATCTTTTTAGCTTTCAGGGATTTTTTTTTCTTGTAAGGCTTGACAGCAAATTAATAGAGCAGGAATCTTTCCCTCTGTATATGGTCTTGCTGTAAACCTTTTCCAACCCCATCAAAAATGGTGTGTTTTTGCAATAGAAGCCTTGTTTTGCTATCGCTTTGAGTTTTGGTAAAATGGTTTAGAGAGAAAATGTGTGCATATGTGTGCTTCTCAGAGCCATAAACAGAAATTTTCACTGTGAAGCTAGCCATGAAGCACTGTGCTTTAGTGCTGTGCAAGGCAGTGTGGGAGACAGTTACAGGAACGAGCTGCTTTCTGCCAGGTTTAGAATGACATCCCTTGCTGCTTTCATGCAGTAGATTAGTGCCAATAGCAGATTGATTTTAATTCCTTTTCATCATCCACATTTAACTCCATAGAATTTTGTTTCTACAGAGATTTCTCTCTGGCATGAAAAAGAATAGTGCACTGAGTCAAGCAGCCTTGAAGTCCGAGCAAGTGTGTGTGATCCATAATTGCTCCTTGATGAGGAGAAGTTACAAATTTATTGTTTTGAGATAAGAAAATGGCAGTATGGTAGGAGAGAGGCTTAATTTAATCTGAGTGCTCCCAGTGATTTATTGATCTAAAGTTCAGCACTTCACAAGAAAAAATCCACTACTGAAGGACTGTTACATTTTGGAATAAGACTGGCTTATAAGTCATACCTTTTAGTATAGGAGGCTACTGTAGAAATAGTAACAATAAATTCTGCCAAGTGATACAGCTCTAACAAAATATTATCTTATTAAAGTTGCTTGTTATGAACTCTTGACAGTACCTAAATAATAAAATCTCCTCGGGCACCTGTTGCATGTATTATTTATTAGCTGTTATAATATCGCAAATGTCTCAACTGCTGTATATCACTCAGTACAGTTATAGAGGTTTCACATAATCATACTGAAAACCTTTGATACCAGAGTTAGAAAAATATCTTTTTGTTTCCCTGGTTTGAAGTTGTGTTTGTTTCTAGTCTGTCTAATTCAAAATCAGCATCAATTTCAACAAAATGAAATTTGGTAAGTGATTAGACCACAGAAAAATATAATCCCCTGCGGATTTTCCAAAAAAGAGTTTCAGTGCTTAGAGATTATACATTGAAAGCCATTAACATGCATGGGCAGCAACCAACTTCACTGGGGATTTTGAATGCATATTAATGTACAAAGTAAAAATCCTAAATACTTTATTAACAGAGCCTTATCAGTCACTTGGATAAATTTTAAAGCTCTAATGTTTTCCATTAGAGAAATAATATATATATATTGTAAATAGTTAGACTACTTAAAATATTTACCGAGTCTAAAAAAATTCTTTCTACATATTGTGCACCACATATAAGGTACCTTGCAGCCCAAGTAAGGATTATATAATATTTTTCATTATTACCTAAATCTCCACACAGCATAGCACATAGAGAGTGCTCATTATTTTAAACAAATTATGAGAGTTAAGGCTGAGTATCCATGACGAATGACAGACTGTCTTGTTTTTATAAAGGAGCAAGCAGAAGGAACTTGGAGTCTTTATTTTACTGCTGTTTACTAGCATTTCTGTAGCCAATTTGACACAACCAGCATGATAATATTCTTGCCTACTTCATCATTTGTGAAAGTAACATAAACTCTTTTCAGTGACCATGAAGTTGTATCTTCATTCAGTTCAACATTGCCTTTCATAAATTCAAACAATATTCCATGCAGTGCGATAAAATATGAAAAGTAGAACTGGTTGCCTCTACTCAATTTAAACAATGAAATAAAATAATCATTCAGATCAACTTGCCTGTTCCTTTCTACAAGTACTCTGTGAGGAAGGGCACTGAGTTTTGTTTTAAGATTTTGGGTCAGATGGTCAGAAGGGCTCGGTTGCTATTTAGACACCGCAATGAAGAGGCAAGATTTTCCTAAGAGCCCCACCACACAATAGAAGACTAGGAGATCTCCATGCTAGGTACACTTGAAAATTCTCCCATTTCATTTAGATTCCTAAACAGGAACTGAGCTTTTCAGAACATCTGACCATTTTCTCCAGTGCCATCTTAAATGCAAACTTAAATGAAATAAAATAGGTGAGAGGTCTCAGAGTGTGTTTTGTTTCCTTACTGCTCTTAGGAGATGTGATTGTGTTTACATACCATAAATACTGAACAAGAAAAGATCCCAACCATTCATCTCCAAGCTCATGTACAGTATCATGTGTATATATGCACAAACTGTGGAGAAAACAAACACATCTAATTTGAAGGGTATACACCATAATAGGAATAGGAAAAATGTCTGTTTTTGCTATTAATGGTGATCTAAATTTCTATGGATTTTTTTAAATAAAAGGATCTCCAAGTGCATTTGCAAAAACAATAGCATTACAAACATTTATTAACTTATTTAGAATCGGCACCCCAATGAGGTAAGAAAGGATGGTACTTCACCCAAGTCAGCCTCAGTAGAAAACATTATGCAATAACACTGTATAACAGTGTAGTACAACAGGTGACGGTGTAGTTTTACAGTCTTTACAAATATCTTGAACTAAATTTTGATATGGCATATGTGCAGTTCACATATTTCCTCAAAGTATGGTAAATATAAAAGGGCAGTTGCTTAATTGGTGTAAATGGCAATAGTTCCATTGACTTGAGTGCAGCTACAATTCACACCAGCTCAGCATCTGCCCCAAAATGTGTAAAAAATATTTAGTTATTTGAGAACGATTGTGCAAATTACGGCAAGTAAATTAATTCAAGGTTCATAGTAAATCATAAAAATATTTTCCCTTCAGGTAATGATACATAGTCCAGCTATTGGTTTTGCAATGTCCTTCACACATCTGTTTCTCCCAAGCTAGACAAGAATGACTGCTACCCTGATTTTTTAATTGAAAGCTGAACAACACCCTTGTTTACAGAGATAGGAAATAAGTATTGCTTAGTCTGCATATCAGTAACTCTTATCAGAGAGAAGCACCATAAGCCAAATTCATGTAAATGTTGAGCAGATATTTTACAGAGCAATAGGACAGACTGAATGCACTTAAGGAAGAGGGTTTACAAATTATTACAAACAACAGGGTTTATTTTGTTGGCATTAAATTAAATCAAAACGTGAGACCTGTGTAGGCAGATTCACTGAACTGGAATAAACAGGCAAAATGAAATGCCGTTTTGCATCAGCAACGGAGGAAATTTATCCAGGTACATATTATGAGAGAGACAAAGTTTGCTTTTTTCATACAGCAAAGAAAAATATTACTCTTAAGTTGTAAAAGTGCCAAGTGAGAGATTTCAGACAAAATTGTGTTATTCATGCTAAGGGAAACTTAAGAAGCTATCTCAAAAGATAGTTGTGTATTAGCCTAAAACAATACAAGTACATGCCAATTTTTATAACATTTTATACTATTTTTTTAAGTGTGAATTTGAAAAAGTTTGTATAGTTTAAAACCAGAACAATTAAGTATCATTAGAAAGACAAGGGTAACTTTTATTCGACCAACTTCTGTTTATCCAATAGTTGAGCTGAATGAGGAGGTTCGTATTTATGGTGTGTTAACACAAATCCAGTCCATATTGTTACAGAGCTGTGTAAGCTTGAAATCTTGTGTCTCTCTCCAATGGAAGCTGGTTCAAGAACAGATACTACCTCACCTAACTTGTCTTCGAATAACCAGGGACGGACACTGCTATACTACTGCATACAATAAGAATAATTGATGTATTAATATTAGAGGTTAATCTGGCTAGTTTTGCTTCCAGTATTATATTTGCCAGCAAATTGTTGGGTTTTAAATGGCTATGTAGTAGTATTTTCACCTCTTCCCTTGAGGAGACTATTCATAGTCTTTTTTAGAAAATAATCAAATTAAATTTTCTGTGGTTGATTACTCTTTATCATGGCTATTTGGCCCACCTTAACCTACTCTTCACATTCACCCCATCTCACATACACAACCTTGCTATTGGAAGACCTAAGGTGATTCTTTCATTGATGTATAAGCAACAAAGAAATGTAGATTTTGCCCCCAGTAACTACCACAGATATATGTGTGTGTGTGTGAGAGAATTCTAAATTAGCTAAACTGAAGTTGTTATTGTGCGACATCATGTGTAAACTATGTAAATGTTCAGAAATGATGTACAAATTCTAAATCGGATGTCTGATTATGCTACTGTTTAGGTATAGTGAAGTAATCCTAAAAGTGTAATGTGTAACCCTCTTAACCATGAACAGAAATACTTTTAAAATACATATTCAGGGATGTATAATATACAAAATCATGAACAAAACATGGAGAGTTAAGGCCTAGCTCTGCCATACTAACTTAACTGCAGGCAGTCCTTGTTCACACTAAAGTCTGTTGGATTTCTTATGAAAATAGTTTTAATGAAAAGAAATACATTTTGGTAATTTGTATAGAAATTAAGATGTATTTCAGTTACATGTTCTAGGGCTTTGACATAAAAAACAGTTTTAAAATTTCCATGACAATTTCAGTTTCCACTGGTGCCTTTCCATTTAAAAAATAAAAGAAAGGGAAAATGTTGACCACTGCTATTAAAAATAAAGAAGAGGGTGTTTACAAGTCTGTTGTTGTACTTAACCTGCCAGCTCATGATTTTAGGCGTAGGTGTTTCTCCAGCAGGAAGTAATGAGCCTATTGGCATCTGTGGTAGGGTAAGGGAACTCCTGGTTCTTCTTTGTTGGTAGTATTACTACCTGCTGCAATAGAAATCCAGAACCCTGAACTCACAGCTGATGCAATAAAAGCCTTTCCCTTTATTTTTATATATGTGTGTATTTTAAGTTTATATAAGTGTTGTATTAGTGTTCTGGCATGTTAAAAATGTTTTAGAGTGCGTATATGTGAGAATTTAAGTTCTCCTTTGTGATGAAAAATGCTTCCTCGTAAACCACATTCTAATTTTATATTCTGTTTTTCTCCAAAAGTAATCTGTAATCTTTGATTTAAAAAATCTTTGAAATGGCAAACAATAACTGAACACTGCATGTTTGAGGGTTGCGGGTATATGAGAAACAATTCTGCCCTCATTCTTGATTTTTTGATGTAGCATTCAATTACTATAGTATCTATTGTGATCTCATAAACAGAGGATCATTCCTGAATGAGTAAGAAGAGGAGATGAAATTGTTACCGGAAGCATTGTGTTTGAATACAGAATCATTTTAGTAATATGAGCTAGAAAACATTTGAAAGGTAATTGAATATGTAGGCAGTCGAACTTGCATTGTTCTTTTTATTTTTTTTGAGAGGGGGGCAACAGGGAGGGTTTCCCCAAATAGAAGAATAAAATATATGAAGTAGAATAACTTCTTTCATGAAAAATGTGCTATATACAAAGCTGTTGGCAGAAGTTTCAGAGAAAAAAATGATCAAGAGGAAATAAACTACTAAACATTCATTAAAGAATCCATTGATGTTAACTTGTATTGGTTCCAAGGACTCTATTAACCCAACTGATTATTCATGAATACATTATGTATACAATTTCCTGCTTTCCATCTTCCCAGATACAGAGGTCTGGACCCAAAGAACCAAACTCTCCTCTCTTTCTTGATTCACGTTCATGTAACTGTATTGAAGTTAGTGGAGTTACACCAGTATAAAAACAGTGTAAGAGGAGAATCACATCCATATACTTCTGGGTTTAGACTAAAATTTGTGATACCTTAACTTTCTAGGAACCTGCTTCTCTGACCTACTTGGAAAGTAAATGTTAATAGTGTCCTAAGCTGTATCTCATCCATTTGCTGAAATGCTGCTAAAAGATGACAGTTGGGACAAAGATGACAGTTGTTCATGTAGCTACTACAGAATGGATCTGTCAGTGTATTTTAAGAAATGATTCATCTTGCATTGATAGCCTGGCAATTCATAACCAAGGGAAGGTGAAAAAATGTTGTTCCAAAAGCAGTTTGTTGTTGTTTAGCCAATAGCCTCTTTCTTTGATGCTCAGGATCAGTAAAACTTTGAAGTACTCTCCTGATGAATTACAGAGCATAACATATTACTGGAAATGACATGACGCTGTTGAAATTTTTCTCAGCACTTGGGAAAGGGCCGGGGGGAGCGATAACGGATTGAATTCTTCCCTCACTGGAGTAAAACTGCTGAAATCAATAGAGCTGGTTGAGATGTGCACCAGTGTAAGAACAAAATATGGCATAATAAACTGCAGGGTTTTTTTCTAATTGTTTTAAGTTAACGTTACATCACCAGACAAATTTGTGTTTGAGTCTCGACATCTGATGGTAATTATCTTTGTTGTGTTTAGGATATTTTAAAAATAGATAATTGGTTTCCCACAATTCTGTTCCCTTTCTGTCCTATCTATCAGTGAAGAGACTGCTTGCTAGAAAACATAAGTGGATTGATGTGGGGAAAGAGAGTTTTGATTATCAGAGACCATAACAAACTTGAACATTTTAATATGTATTTATGTTCATTTAAGAACTTAGAGGAGTCTTTGTCAATACTGGTCTTTCAGGATGTAACAGCATATCCTGCTGATTTTCTTCCTGTTGGTTGGTACAGAGAGGTTATATATCAGTTACTAAACCTCAGCATATTTTTCTGGGCTCTCCACTTAATTTTAAAAATAAATTAATAAAGTATTGAACAATTTTTTTTATTTTTTTTTTATTTTTTGCTGGAGACACTGACTTTTTACCACCTAAAATTGGCAGTGATCACCAGACCAGAAATGGAAATTGGCAGGTACCACTGGATGTACAGGAGTTCAAGGCCACACCGGTACCATCATGTGCCAGCATTGAGAGGCAATATTAGTCCTTTGGGGATTCAAGGTAAATAAAGGGCTGGGGTGAAATCTAAATGGAGAGTTCAAATGCAGTAGTGCAAACATGATTTGTTGTAGCTGTAACCTTTTAAAAATGTTTTTCTGTTTCTTAGTTGGGAGTCTTAGTCTTTTCTCACATGATTTTTTGAAATAAACTTTAATTTTAATCTGTTAGTTTTGGAAAGGCAGTGGCTTGCCATTAACTGTATTGCCAGCAATCATTTCAAAAGTGGCCACAGACAAAACAGGATAGTATTATCTGTGTATGCAAATCCAATCAGAAACTGATAGTGATATAATTTATAGTCTACCAGTTGGTGTCCATGTTCAAAGAGAGAAACACATAATGCAATAGGTCTCCTCTCAAGTGTTTCTTTGGATGATATTTCACCTAATAGCTCACTTTCCAGCAGCAGCTCTGTGTGTATCTGTGAGTCCTGTTTTTAAAAAAAGATTACAGGCAAGATTTTCCAAAGTAATCCATGATACTGCATAGGTCAGATTCTAAGTGCCCAACCTGAGACACTAAAATGAAAGCCTGAATTTTAGAGGGTGAGCACTCGGCACTTTTTGAAATTTACCCTTTGAAGTATCTCAGGTCAAGGAAACATGTAGGTGATTTTGCCCAACCACTCTCTTCCTTGGAGGGAGCTGATCTATTTAATCCAGATCAGAAATTTGAGTGCTACATTTGGAGAACATTCACCACATTCTCTATTTAGTCTCTTCCCTTATATAACCTGATGGCCTGGTTCTTTAGATCTCAAAATGCTCTTTCCATGGCAGTCTGTATGCTAGTAATGGGTGATTATGCCTAATTTATTGTCAAATTTTATATTCAAACTTATTGCTAAATTAGATGTATTATTTGGTTGATTAGGTTTGTTCAGTTCAGTGATGGTACTAGTAATACTATTTTTGTTGTTGTTAATGGCTCTTCATTGTATTTCCTGAAAGCACTCAATACTAATGTGATCGGTATGTTTTATATACTGGTGCTAAATGTCAAGAAGACACCTTTATTTCCGTTGGGGCGGGGGGGTTCATTTGGATATTTCTTCAGATTACATGTTGAAGAAAATCTGAGGCAAAGATCATGATTCACAAGTTTAATGCTTATCTAGGCCATCTTTTACAATGCTTATCTGCCTACTTTAGAAGTAGCGAAAAGATTCTTGAAATCTTTACTCAGCTATTTGAGAGCAAAATCCTCATTACGCTGGTAGGTGTCAGTCTGTATTTTGTTCAAGGAAATCCATTTCAAGAACCTGGATCAGTGTCATCCAGAAGCTTAGGTCTTATCTGTGGACACTGGTTGAATTGGGTGTGCTAAAATACAGACATAACTTTGAATTGGGAGTGCTGTGATGTTTTGGGGGATTTTCAACAAAAAGTTGAAGGCACAAGAGCTCCAAGGCATAGCCTGAATGATTCAAAGGCTGAAAATGACATTTTAATGTGGGAAACTCAGTTTCTGATATCTCTAATGTAAAGAAATCTCTCCAGATGTGCTATGTGATAGAAACTGAGAATTGTAACAGACTAACTACACTGAAAGAATGGAACCAATCTCTGTGCCAATGATTATTTAGTCGCAATGAAATGCTGCTTCTTTTCTTAACAGAGGAAAATAATCAGAACAATGGATTTTTTCATTTCAGAGCTGGTACAGGAATCTCTTGTTTTGGATTGCACTGAATAGTACACTGGAAACACACCCAGCTCTGCAAGCATGTAAACTTTCTTCCTAGGGCTTCCTTCCTTATTCCCCTCTTTGACATGTAGTAATAGATATTATCAGGAGAGAAAACTTTGTTGCCCTTTTGATATTTTGCTTCTTTCACAAGATCTTTACATAAGCAACTGTCTGTCCCTTTAGATCTTTAATCAGTTAAATGCTACTTTATTTTCACTCTGCCTTTTAAAACTCCCTGTTTAAACTCATTGTTCAAAATCAACGTTCTTGTGAAAATTCTTCCAGATGTTTTTGTTTTGGGTTTTTGTTTGTTTTATGATTGTTTTTCTCTTCCTAGATTTCTTCCTAAAAAATGTTAGGGTTTAGCATGAGAATGTGCACCATCTCATCAAGACTCAGAGGAGTAGCCATGTTAGTCTATAACTTAAAAAAAACTTAAACAAGAATGGTCCCATAGCAGAAGATATAAGATCATGCCATAAGCATGCAGGCTGCTTCATGAACAGGGGGAAGTTTGCACAGCATCTACCTATTTATATACCTTCACCTTTGTTGGTGTTACAACTGACACAGGTCTTTATAGTGGTGCTTCATTTTCCTCCTTTTCTGTGCTTAGATGAGCTATTTCTTTAAAGACCTGGTTTTTTCCAGTTTGGTACTAAAAGGCTGAATTTGGCTTCTTAATCTCAGATTCACGGGTCTGAAAATATCCCCCTCCTTTTTTTAAATAAATTTGTAACTAAGTAGGCGTCTTAGTGGGAGGGAGATTCTGTTTTTGTTTACTTTCTGGTAGCTAAGGAAGAATCAAGTGGAGAAGTAGTTGGCAGCTGTGGCTGAGATCCAATGGGATAAGTCTTATTCTGCTAAGGATACTTCAGGCTGATGCATTGTGAGGTGAGTTGGCCAGGACCTGAGGGCAGTCTTCACTACTGACTGAATTGATAGGCAGTGATCGATCCAGTGGGGGTCGATTTATCGCATCTACCATAGATGCCATACATACATGGCCAAGTGCTCTCCTGTCGTCTCTACCAAAGTACTCTACCAAAATTAGATGAGTAGGTGGAGTTAATGGGAGAGCATCAGCTGTTGACATATTACTGTGAAGATATTGTTTTAAGCAGATCTAAGTACGTCAACTTCAGCTACCTTATTCATATAGCTGAAGTTGTACAACGTTGAGTCAGTGGCCCACACTAGTATAGACCAGTGGTGCACAACCTTTTTTTAATGGCAACCCCCACAGCTGAGCCCAGCTGTTGGTGGCCACGCGGTGCTCAGATCCAGGTGGCCAGGGGCTGGCCCTGGCTGTTGGTGGCAGCGCAGTGCGGCAACCCCCCAGGAAGATAACCATAACATCCTGGGGGGGTCACAACCCATGGGTTGCGCACCACTAATATAGACATGGCCTAAGGCTCAAAACTCAAATTTTACAGTAAGAAACAAACCTTTGCTTAAAACATTGCTAAACATAGTTCTCTTTTTTTTTTCACAAGAAAACCCAGGAAACTCTAATTCAAATAGTGTGAGATTTACAAAGGCCCCCAATTAGTCAATGGGAATTAGATGCTAGCTCCCATGGTTGTGTTTGTAAATCCCACTGGGCATCTTTATATCTTTGTAGCTGCCTAAATAACTTTGTAAGTCTGGCCCTGAGTCTTACTTGTTACATCTTTTTGTGCAGAGTTGTCTAGATAAGGCAGCCAAGCCAGCACTTGCTAAAACTGAGAGGGGAGTAGTGTCTCTGAGGAGGTGAGTGGAGATCAGGGTGAGAACAGAAAGAGGGATTATTGAAATATGAAAAGGCAGAGCAGTTGCAAAATCTGTTTTGTGTGTGTGTGGTTTACATGTGGCCTTGTACAGAGTTGAACTGAGACTGATAACTTTTGACCATGGAGCAATTTCAGATTAATGAATTCTGCCTATAGAGTAACACCACCAAGTACAATAATTCTGGGGGAAAAAACGTATTGTCTAATACAGGAACAAATCTCCAGGAGGAATAAAACTATGCACTTCAGAATAAGACACGTCTGCACCAACTCTGAAGAGAATAACGTTGGTTAAGTTGTGCTTTAAGAAAGGATTTGTTTTGACCAGTCTTAACTGGTGGATATTTTCTCCCTTATGTCTCTGTCAGTTATTTCTGAAAAATACAACCACCTGTTAAGCATTGCTTCACTCCAGTATTTAAAAAAAAATAAAAAACCTGCCTTGATAAAAGTAGTCTAGGTTCTGTTGATATAATTTAGGGTATGTCTACGCTGCCACCCTAGTTCGAACTAGGGTGGCAGCGTAGACATACCCTAAATTATATCAACAGAACCTAGACTACTTTTATCAAGGCAGGTTTTTTATTTTTTTTTAAATACTGGAGTGAAGCAATGCTTAACAGGTGGTTGTATTTTTCAGAAATAACTGACAGAGACATAAGGGAGAAAATATCCACCAGTTAAGACTGGTCAAAACAAATCCTTTCTTAAAGCACAACTTCACCAATGTTATTCTCTTCAGAGTTGGTGCAGACGTGTCTTATTCTGAAGTGCATAGTTTCATGGGTTGGAAAGAGTTCCTACCACTTCTGTTGACAAAAAGTGAAGTTGTTCAACCTCTCAGGCTGACAAGACTGGAACAAGAAAACTGCTCTCATGTATTGTCTCATGTATCACAGCATTTAATGCTTGGTGGTATATATTAATAGCAGTCTAGAATTGATGCATGTATATTTTATAGATCATATTGCCTTAAAAGAGGCCATCTTCTAAATACTTATTAATTGAAGAACCATTTCAAAGAACTGGAAATGCATCAAACTAATTTAATTTGGGGAAAAATGAGTATTTCTGTCTTCACTATAGTTTTTAAGGCCAGAAGGGGACTGTTAGGTTAAGGACATTCTAACTCTCTGCATGTCACATGTCAGAGTATTTAACCACATGATTCCTGCAGTGGAGGGAATTCTTCTCTAACAAACGTAATGCAACATGATAAAGCAGTGGTTCAGAAAATACTCTCTTCGTAGACTCTTCTTTACCATGCTGCTTTGACATTAGGGACAGAGGAAAATCTTAACTTAATCAAATAGTTATTTTTGTCTCCAGTGCAGATGTATTGCTTTCTGAAATGAAATGAACAATTACCTCTGCTTAGTAGCAAAGGGGCTGTAAGACCCCCATTGTTAAGAGTATGCAAAAGGCCTAATTTCTACGTTTGTCGCTAAGATACTTTAGAAAAAAAGTCAGCGGTCTTATCTGTCGACTTAGAGGTATATTTTTTTATATCCAGCAGTGGACTGTAATAACAATCATTGT